TTCCTTTGCGAGAGTCTGGCCATGCATGGTGGTATGGGGAGTTTTCTTTTGGCAGTGAAGAACATGCACTCATGTCTTATCTCATTGCAGAGTCCTTGGCCTATCTCACAGCTGCAACTCATGGTTTGGATGAGGAAGCTGAAAGCCTGAAGGAAACATTTGATCCTGAGAAGGAAACGGTTAGCAACCTCACTAATGCTTCCTACTTCATTGCAAGAGCTCTAGGGTTTGGAAAGGTGACAGTAATCTGGTGTTAGTGTGAGTGGCCAGGCAGCTTCTTTCTGGGAGGGAGGAGCTATCTCCATTCCAGTCACTGCTTATCAGGCTTGAGACCATCTGTGCTGCTTGGAAGCAGGTAGGGCAAAGAATGGGATTTCCCTTATGTGGCCTTTGACTGTTTTCTGTACCTCTCTGCTCAGATTCCAGACATTGATCACAATGCAAAGCTGCTGCAGCCTCCTGCTCCTGTCATGCCTCTGGATACCAACTGGCCATTGCTGACTGTCTCCAAGGGGTTCTTTGAAGGAACAATTGCTAGCAAAGGTATTGCTTTGGACTTGGGAGGTAGCGTTAAGCTGGACTATGCACAATGGAGTTATTTGTCTCCGTGGCTCCTCAGCTGTTGCTGTTAACCTCAGATTTGTTGTGTGCTGCTAGCAGAGGTGGGAATCCAGCATGGCATTTACACCATCTTTGGCAAATCTCTCAAATCTCTGCCCTTTTAGCACAAGATGGGACTTAACAATTGGAGGGGAGGTTGCTGGCCTAACCTAATTCTTTGCTTAACACCTCAGATGAGTAGATGAAGGATCCTGCTCTTTATGTAGGCAAAGGAGGTGCTTTGGCTGCTGATATTGATATCGATACTGTTGGCACTGAAGGCTGGGGAGAAGATGCAGAGCTGCAGCTGGATGAAGGTGGGTGAATCCAAGAGTCCTTCATGCCGAAGTCTAAGTGTGTGCCTGTGTAAGAGGTCTGACTGTTTCTCCCCTGCTCCCTCCAGATGGCTTTGTGGATGCTGGAGAGAGCTTTGGAGAGGAAGCTCTAGGTAAAGGACAAGAAGAAGGAGGTGGATGGGAAGTCGAAGAAGATTTAGATCTTCCCCCTGAACTGGTAGGAGACCAGTGGTAGTTACTTGGGAAGGCAGTGACAGCCTGTGGTGGTGGCATGGGGGGAACGTGCACTGGACTTCCTCAGGGGCTTGGTCACCACAGCTGTGGCCAGCTCTGATTTCATCTGGGTGCTGGAAACTTCCACACTTATCCCTGTTTTGTGTGCTCCCCCAGGATGTTCCTGCTGGTCCAGCAGGAGCTGCAGAGGATGGATTCTTTGTGCCACCCACCAAGGGCACCAGCCCAACTCAGGTAGTGGCACAAGTCTTTGACTGTCTTGCTCAGGAACTTTCTACTTTAGTGCTTCTTTTTGGGGGTTCAGTCCTTGTTACCAGTCACCTGTGAGCACAACACAGGAACTGTGTTAAGGGGAGTTAGGGGTGGTGAGGATAAGGAAGACAAATGCATGCACATACACAGTTCCTCTTGCAATGTTTCCCTTCCATTCATGTAGGTTTGGTGTAACAATTCTCAGCTTCCTGTTGACCACATTCTGGCAGGCTCCTTTGAGACAGCAATGAGAGTAAGTTTCCCCTGGAATGCGTAGGTGAAGTTGCCCCTGGAATGCGGAGGGAAAGGGCTATCCCCATGTATTTTTTGTCTCTGCTCTAGTCTGAAACTTCATTCTGTGTCCTGCTGTGGATCACCTTGTGCATTGTTTATTGTTTTCTCTGGGTATAAAATAAGAGGTGCTGGGAGCCTGAGTGATATCTGTGTGTCCTTTGGACAACTTTTACTTAGCAGATCATTGTGTCTCTTCCAGCTCCTCCATGACCAGGTAGGAGTAACAAACTTTGGACCCTACAAGCAGTTGTTCCTGCAGACCTATGCCCGTGGACGTACAACCTACCAAGCCCTGCCATGTCTCCCTGCCATGTATGGGTACCCACATCGCAACTGGTAAGCATTGGGTTAGCTCCTTTGCTGCGTTCTCTTCCTTGTGCCATAGACCTCTCAGACTTCTTGGTGTTGTAGACAGAAATATCTCCTCCCTCTGTTGGGAAGGGAGGAACCTTCCTGGTTTTGGGATTTAAATAGAGAGCATTCTGTCTTTAGTGGGATTTTTCTGCTGCCTGCTCTTAGATGTAAAGATGTCGAACTGCTTTCATTTTTTGTTTAGAGACTAAGGGGCTTTTCAAGGCCAGGTTGGATGCAGCTTGGAGCAACCTGGGCTAGTGGAAGGTGTCCCTCCCTGTGGCAGGAGGTTGGAACTAGATGAGCTTTTTAAGGTCTCTTCCAACCCAAACCCTTCTGTGATTCTAAAACCAGTGTGAGGCAGTTGGAATGATGAGTTTTCTAGCACTAATACTCTGCCTCCGACACAGCTGCTCTGGGGCATCTAGAGAACCACAGGTGTGTGTTTTACAGTGGTACCTGGAAGCCACTGTAGAAGAAGGAGCCAGACTTCTCAGCCTGCACTAATGCAGAGGGAGCTGGGCATTGTGGGCAGCAGAATCATGGAAGCACAGATGTCGCTTGTGCTAAGCTACTGGCGAAGAAAAGCAGTATGGCCCTAGGTCAAACCATATCTGACAAGTTGCTGTTGAGCTGACAATGTGTGTGTTCCTGCTGGCCTCTGCAGTGGTCCCATTCATACCTCCAACCCCTCTTTGGTGCTCCCAGGAAAGATGCTGGCTTGAAGAATGCCCTCCCTGCTGTTGGACTGAAACTCAATGACCTGATCCAGCGCCTGCAGCTCTGCTACCAGCTCACTACAGCCGGCAAGTTTGAGGATGCCGTGGAGAAGTTCCGCTCCATCTTGCTCAGCGTACCGTTGCTGGTGGTCGACAACAAGCAGGAGATTGCTGAGGTGAGAGGCAGACTCCTCTGTGTGGTGTCTGCATGCCCTTGGGGCAGGAGGCTGGATGCCTGACTCTGTTTCCCTCTCTGGAAGGCCCAGCAGCTCATAGCCATTTGCCGGGAGTATATTGTAGGACTTTCAATGGAGATTGAGCGGAAGAAGCTGCCCAAAGAGACCCTGGAGCAGCAGAAGCGAATCTGTGAGGTACAGAAACTTGGTGACATCCTTCACTAAGAGGCAGATAAGGGTGGGGAGTAACCTTTGGGTTTAAAAAGGCAGTGAGAATCCTGCATTCTGCTCTGTCCTCCTTTAAAGCAGATGTGGCAACGATTACCTGGGAGGGGTTTCTTGCAGCCAGGGTTTGGTAGTGATTGTATCCCTGTTTTCCTTCTTTCACCCCAATGCAGATGGCAGCCTATTTCACCCACTCCAACCTGCAGCCCGTCCACATGATCCTGGTGCTGCGTACTGCTCTCAACCTCTTCTTCAAACTCAAAAACTTCAAGACAGCTGCTACTTTTGCTCGTCGGCTGCTGGAGCTGGGTCCAAAGCCTGAGGTGGCCCAGCAGGTATGTCTGTGAGGTGCATGAGCAGGAATATCTTCTGTGGCAGACATTTGGACTGGTTCCTAGCTGCCCCTCTGCTCAATGTGGTTGCTTTTGGCAGACTCGTAAGATCCTGTCAGCGTGTGAGAAGAATCCCACTGACACCTACCAGCTCAACTATGACATGCACAACCCCTTTGACATCTGTGCTGCCTCTTACCGACCCATCTATCGTGGCAAACCTGTGGAGAAGTGTCCTCTCAGTGGAGCCTGCTACTGCCTTGAGTTCCATGGGCAGATCTGCCGTGTCACTACAGTAAGGGAGCCTTGACATCTGTCACCACCTTCTCCTAGCCTGCGGTGTTTCTCTTCAGAATCCCCTTCAGCAGCTCCCACATGTTCCCTCTTAACTGCCTTGGCATGGGTTATGGGTCCAGTTGAATGTCAGGGGCCTTGGAACAGTTTGGGAATTGTGAAATACTGTGTAATTTAAGTGCTACCTTCAGGGCCTGACATTACAGCAATGGGCAGTGCTTTTGAGAACCATCTTTGGAGCATTAATCATCTCCTTTTTATTCCTCAGGTGACAGAGATCGGCAAAGATGTCATTGGGCTGCGGATCAGCCCACTCCAGTTCCGCTAGGAACCCATCCCTTGGAGGTGTTAGACCAGAGGGAAATGGTCCCATTCCACAGCACAGCATGGAAATCTTCACCTCCCACCATTCCAGCTTTTAGTCTAGTCTCTTCCCCATAGAGTGTGTCTTACCTGCTTTCCCCACCCAGGAATGCTCTAGTGAGACTCTGAGCTGCTTCCAGGTAGTCACAACTTGCGCTTCTCTTTCCATATCCAGCTGATGTGAAGTTTCTTCAGCAAATCTTTTCCAGAGGGAAAAGCCAGCAGCCGCCTCTTTCTTCCTTAGTGCTGAGCTCCTGAAAGAATTGGTCAGAGACCTGCTGCAGGAAGAGCCAAGCCTGGCTCTCACAGGAGTGTTTGAAACCAGGACCAGGGCCAGTCCCTGCTCCGGGGGCAGCTCAGAAGAGGCAGGAGAGCAGCTCAGCAGTGTTCAAATGCTAGTATTGACTTCTTGTTTTGTTGTCCTAGCAACATTTCTCTAAAATAATCAGCTTGCCTCATGAATAAAGTGAATTGACCACCTTCATCTTTCTGTTGCTCAGTTGGTGTTACTGAGATAGAAGAGAGATTAGATTGAATTTTCTCTCTTCACCTCCCCGTTCATTACCAGCTTTGGAGGCTCCAAAGGAAGTTATAGCTTCCAGCAGTGATGGAGGATGAGAACATGTGTGTTCTCACATCAGTGGAGCAGCAGAGGGTTGGACTGAGAGATCCTGCTCCGTCTGTGCCTGTGCTTTCTCCTCACTCATGATGCTGAAATAAAACCATGCCTTACAGTAGGATTTGAAACCTTTTATTTTATACATAAAAATGAAGAACGGGTACATGCCATTCTGCTTCCAGCTTTGCATTGGTTTTGTTCAAGGAATGTTCACAGCAGTGGGGGGGAGACACTGACTGGCAGGACTAGGGAGAAGGGGTCTTAACCACCAGGGAATTGTGGCAGGCCACTGCAATGCCCCCAATGAGGTTCAGGAACTCCTGGAAGTCGAGCTGCCCATCACTGTTCAAATCCAGTTTCTTCATCATCCTGTCCACAACACCTGGGTCCTTCTGGTTCTGCAAAAGACCAAAGAGAGTTTGACTTTATGTTCAGCACCAGAGGAGAGGGATTGGTGGAGGATGGCAGAATCCAGCCAGGCCAACTCATGTGGCTCTGGCTCCTGGGAGCAAACTCATCCCATTGCCCACCATGGCGCTCAGAGGCTTTAATTGCCATCCTGGGGGCTGTAGCACAGGCCACAGGAGCCTCTTGTGGCCATGCTCACCTTTGTGAAGGCAGCCAGCTCGGTGTTCATGAAGGCCAGGAACTCCTTCTTGGAGAGGGCGCAGTTGTCCCCTTCACGCCCTGCGTACCGCTGGAAGACGGCGAGCAGGGACTCGATGCAGCGCTCGGTCTCTGTGGGCTGCTGGAGCAAGAACAAGTTCAGCCGAGTGTTGAAGGGAGCTCTGAGCTTTCTAGAGGAGGAGCTGGGCTGGGGGGGGCCTCCTGCAGGTGCTTCCCTGGAGGAGTCTCCTATGCCCAACCTGTCCAAACGCGTTTCTTTTTGCCTTGACACAGTGCTGTGGTGCAGGAAGGATTCAGAAGACTGGGGAGTGGTTCATGGAAAACCCCTGGGGACATGGCAGCTCCCATTACTGGAGCGGTCTGGACTGGGAAAAGTTTATGTTGCAACCACGGTGACCTGCTGGGCTTTGTTCCATGCTCTGCAGCTTGGCTGGGGCTGGGTTTCTGGACAGGTAACCCCGTCCTTCCCACTTTCCTTCTCCCTGCCCTGTCTTCACAGAGGAGAAACTGAGTCATGAGAGAAAAATGCAAGTGGAGTTGTCTCCTTCTCCACCAGGGTTGGACAGGGCAAGATGGGGGTGATGTGGGGCTCCAGACTTCTGGGCAGGGCAGTGCAGGCAGAGCTGGGGGGAGGCCAACCTTCCCTGCCCGACCTCAGCATCCTGGGACCTCCCTGCCACATCCTGCTCAGCTTGGTGAATGTGACAGGGACTGAGTTTGCTCAGTCTCAAGTCCTCAGCTGGTGCTGGGTGGGGACAGGACAGTTGAGCTGCAGCCCTGAGTCTGGTGATGGGCAGCAGAAGTATCAGTGGGAAAAAGGAGAAGAAGGGAATGAAGGGGATGGGGAAGAACAATCTAAATGCCCACCCCATAGTGCCTCACACCTGCAGGGACCCTCTGCTCGCCCTCTCAACCTCTGCACCCTCTTCCCCCAACCAGGCCCCCTCTCTGGCAAGGATTTGGCTCAGCCCTTGGCGCCATCTGCTCTATCTGGTGCCAAACCACGTCTCGCCTTCAGCTCTGGGGCCACTTGTGGGAAAAGCTCCTTTTCCATCAGCCTCCTGTCCTTAGAGAGCTGTCTCTCCCTCCCCACCCTGGGGTCCCGGCGCACTCACCATGGCTGGGGTGTGAGGAGGGGGCTTGGTCCTTGTCGCAGCCACGGTGCGAAGTGGCAGAGCAGGAGCTGAGGTGGTTTTGAGCTTCACCCTGCAGCCACCGCCCTTCCCGGCTCTGACTCAGCCCCTTGGGCTGCGTTGGGCAATCGTCATCCCTAACAGCAGATCTGGACGCGCCTGCGGCCCCCAGCTCAGGCTCAGGAATGTGCTGGGCCTCTCCTTTAGACTCTGCCTCATGAGTTTTATTCCTTACAGTTATTCACACTCACTTTTTCTTCTCTTTATCCATTTTCACCCCTTGGTCTTTTGCAATGTGTCCCTTTATAGCCCATTCATTTCATCCCCAGGCTCAAGACTAAGCTCCCCCTGGGGCTGCCTTGCTGCTACTCGGAGCTTCTACAATATTTCTCCTTGCTGTGGTGAGATTTGAGATCCCCAAGGTCTTCTTTTTGGACAGAGCCTTGGGTGACATAGTTTAGTGTGTGGTGTCCCTGCTCATGGCAGGGGGGTTGGAACTAGATGATCTGAAGGTCCTTTCCAACCCTAACTGTTCTATGATTCTAAAGGGGATGTCGGGGAGCAGGCAGCATTCCCCTGCCCAGCCTGGGGGACATCTGCTGCCCGTCCCCTTCAGCTTTGACTGCTCCCACCCGTGGAGCTTGGCTGATGGCACCCTGTAACCTCGAAAAAGGAGGGAAGGCAGCCCCATAGGGTTGGGATGCTGCACTGGGAGCTGGCTGCAGCATACATTTGTCCCCAGCAGTGCTGGGCTAAGCTCCTCACCGGGGCTGGCCACCCTCCTGCTGCTGCAGAGCGAGAGACCCTGGAGGGCTGAAAAGAGGGAGACACGGAGAAGGAGGCGGGACAGGAGGCACCCGAAAGGCACCCAAAAAGGCAAGTAATGTGC